ATGTGCTACAATATATGAATACAGTGAAAGTCTTACCTATGTGCTACAATATATGAATACAGTGAAAGTCTTACCCATGTGCTAATTTTTTGTCTTGGTTAAATATAATAGTCAAGTCAGCGTGCTTACAGAGTTTCAATTATATTAAATATCCCAGAATCCGTTGTTACGTCTCACTACTATGCAGTGTCATCTCTTGGCGAATATCATCATTAAAAATTCATTATTTAGTTTCGACTCACCTTACATTACTTTCCCTCCTTTGTTTTGGTTTTTCTGTTAATTTTTTTTATTTCCCGCAGTTCTTCACCTTAAGAAAGAAAAAATAATGATAAAAATAGTGAATTTCATTGCATACGGAACAAACTTGATAACGAGGAACCCACTTCTTAGAAAATAAAAGTTTTGAGACGGCTTGACTTTTATATGGAACAAAATATAATCGTTTTTCTGGTGTCAGTTCTGAATGACAATATGGTATTTTGAATACGAGCGGACGTGGACTAAGCGGCCAGGTCAGAGATCCCTCGAGTTCGGGTCAAGTCTTCCTAAATTTTAAGCTACTGACTAGTTAGAAAGCAGGCAGTCAACATGACCCACAGGCACAATAGCCCTGTCCCGCTCTTTGAACCGAATAACCGGATTGACTGTTATATTTTTCTAACTCAACACCAGTTGGAAGTGTGGAATGTCTTCAGCAGCATCGCGGCTCGAACTTTGGACCCTTGGATCTGCATTTAAATACGCTAACTTCCGGGCCAAACTCATGACGAAATGAGGCATTTTTTGTAGTTGTTTTTGTGCCGAGTTTCAGTTTCGTCATAATTTTTTATTTTCGTAATTTTAATTTCTAGCTTTGTATTTATTTTTTATAAAATAAAAGACTAGCATTGAGACTTTTAATGAGATTTCTCAGGAAACATTTAAGTCTGTTTTTTTAATGCAAATCCACACAATAGATTATCTGCTATCTGTCCACCGCGAGGAACCGAACCCCTGATTTTAGCGTTGTAAATCCGAAAACGTATCGGTGACTCACTGGGTGACAATAAAATAAGAACTGAGCGATTAAAAACACTGTATCGTATGCAACATTTATATTATGGAATTATTTTTAGATTAGGACCTACAAAGCCAAAACCCGTGGTTCGATTTTCCGTGATGGACAGAACGTAGACTCCCATTGTGTAACTTTGTGCAAAAAATATTTACTCTCCTTTTCCGGTGATTAAATTACTTATAGCTAACAAGCTATTGTGTAGCTTTGCGTTTAAAAGAAACAAACCAACAAATATCTCACCATACCAAATTATCAACTTTGGGGACCATATAGTAAAAAAAACAACACTAAAAATATCTCACAAATATCTATTTAAAATACAGAGATAGTCCCTATAGTAATTAGTAGAATTACGTGTAATTTCATTAACATATTTGTTTACTTTATTTGTATGACTCATATGTTATTAGGGATCCTCTAACCATAAAAAATAACGGTCCTCCCACAAGTAATTTGCTTGCATTGTTAATTTTTAAAAAATACGTTTTTAATGCAATTATAAGATATGAAAAAGTACTGAAAAAAGTAAAAATAAAGAAACGGAAAAATATTAATCAAGAAACTATGTCTGCAACAATTTTTCATAAGCAGAAATGTCATCCAAGAAACTATGTCTGCAACAATTTTTCCTAAGCAGAAATGTCATCCAAGAAACTATGTCTGCAACAATTTTTCCTAAGCAGAAATGTCATCCAAGAAACTGTGTCTGCA